AAAAGAGAAAAATCTACTTTTTTTTTTTTCAGGAAATTTTTTTTCTTTGCAGTAGAGTTCTATAAGCTTTACTTATGGATAAATTTGTGTAACCACCACTAAAATCAGGGTACGGAATGGTTCAGTTACCCCATAAAGAACACCTCTGTTACCGCTTTATAATGCTGTCCCCAACGTTAAGTCTGGGAAACCACTTATCTGTTCTCCCCATCGTACTATCATTTCCAAAATCTCATACAAATGGAAATTTCCAGCATGTAACCTTTTGGGTCTGCCTTCTTTCACTTAGCAAAATGCCTGTGACAGGGACGTTGTTGCCTATACAGTAGTCCACTGTTGTTTTTTTATTTTAATTTTTATTTCTTTAGTTGTTGATGGACTTTTTATTCCTTTATTTATATGTGGTGCTGAGAATCAAACCCAGTGCCACACACATGCTAGGCAAGTGTTCTACCACTGAGCCACAACCCCAGCCCTAGTCCACTGTTTTTAATACATTGTAATGTTTCAGTATACAAACACGCTACAATATTGTTTTTCCATTCAACTGTTGAAGGACATTGGGTGCTTTCCAGCAGCTTGTGATTGTGAACAGAACTGTTGTACAGGTTTTTGTGTAAACTTAAGTTTTATTACTCTAGGGTAAATACAAGGGCCAAAACGCAGGCATGTGTTGAACTTTGTTAGAAATTTCCACATTGCTTTCCCACCAGCAATGTATGAAAGTTCAGTTGCTCCACATCCTTGCCAGAATCAGCTTGTCTATATCTAAAAAGATCCTACTAGAATTCTGATTGAAATGGAAACATTTATTATGTTGAGTTTTTTAATCAATAAATCTGATACATTACAATTTTTTAAAGTTTTCAGCATAAACATTCTGTACATATTTTGCTAAAATTACACACAAGGATCCAACCCAGAAACTTGAGCTTGCTGGGCAAACATATTATTTCCTAGCTACATCCCCAGCCCTGGAATTATTTATTTTTTGGAACTGGAAATTGAACCAGGGGTGCTTGCCAGGTTTCCAGCCCTTTTTATTTTTGACACAGGAATCTCACTGAGTTGCTTAGAGCAAAACTAAGTTGCTGAGGCTGGCCTTGAACTTGTGATCCTCCTACCTCAGGCTCCTGAGTTGCTAGGATTAAGGTCTACGCCACCATGCCTGGCTGGATATCTTGTTTTTAAAATTTAGTTTCTAATTGGTAATTGCTGACTTTTGTGTGTTGACTTGATATTCTGTACAATGCTAAACTCAGTAGTTTTAGGAAGGTTTTGTTTTTTTCCCCAGAATGGGGACAAAACCGGGCCTCATGTGTGCCAGGCAAGCATTTTACTAGAGTTATATCTGCAGCCCTCCTGGAGATTTTCAATATGTCATCATGAATAGCAACAACTTTATTCATTTATCCAGCTTACATGCATTTAAAAATTTTGGAGGGTGATTTATTGGGAATTGAACTTTATCACTGAGCTACATCCCCAGCCCTTTTAATTTTTTTGAGACAGTGTCTTACCAAGTTGTTGAGGCTCACCTATAACTTGGGATCCTTGTATGTCAGCCACCCAATTAATAATTTTTTGCCTTATTTTGATGGCTAGGATTTCCAGAACAATTATTGAAAATGATTGGTGAGAATGGACATCCTTACATCTGCTTTTAGAGGAAAAGCGGTTCTCTTTTGCTAGTCTGATGTTAGCTATAGTTTACTGAGTTTTATTTTTCTCAGTCATAATTGGTTACCTTTTATCAAATGTTTTTTCTGCATTGATACACTCATGAGTTTTTTCTTCTTAGTCTTCAGTTTTCTGGTCATTCTTGTCAGGTTTTTATATCAGGGTAATGTTGTCCTCATGAAAGGAGTTGGGAAGTGTTCTATTCTCTTTATAAAGATCCTTTAAGGGCTGAGAATGTGGCTCAGGCGGTAGCATGTGTGCGGCATGCGTGTGGCCCGGGATCGATTCTCAGCACCACATACCAACAAAGATGTTGTGTCTGTCGAGAACTAAAAAATAAATATTAAAAATTCTCTCTCTCTCTCTCCTCTCTCACTCTCTTAAAAAAAAAAGATCGTTTAATATTGGTGTTATTTTTCTTTACATATTTGGTAGAATTCAACAATGAAGTCAGAAATTTATTTTCCAGAGGCTCACTATAACTTGTTTCTTTTACTAGTTACAGTACTATTTATGTTGCTTATTCATCTTGGATGAGTTTTACTAACTTATGGTTTTTGAAGAATTGGTACATATAATCTAAGTTGTCAAATTTATATAAAGTATGCCCTTATCCTTTTATTTTGAACTGAATAAAAATGAAAATGCAACATATCAGAATTTGTGGGATATAGTTAAAGCAGTGTTTAGAAGGAAATTTATAGTATTAAGATGCTTATTCTGCTGTCATGTACAACTAAGTAGAACAAATCAAAATTTTTAAAAAGATGCTTATATTAAATACTTCAAATCAATATTCTAAGCTTCTGATTAAAAATGAAAAATAAATTCAAAATGTATGAAAGAAAATACAGAAATAAATTGAAAACAGATCAGAGAAAATGAAACAGCTTATTTGAGAAAAATCACTTTGATATATTCTATAGTTGAACTAATGAAAATAAACCTATTTGTTCTTAAACATATGGCCTGCTTTTATGATTGTGACTCTATTTGTCTCATTTTTTTTTATTCAAGATATCTTTATTTGTGTCTTTCCAATCAGTTTCACAATCCCCTCTCTCCTGAAGATCAGTTTTTGGTCTGGATCCTATAGCTCCTTCATCTTCCTCTCATTTTTATTCTCCTACAGAACTACAGGAAATACCTGCTTAAGTCTTCCACATACCCATTAATGGGTTCACACCAAAGTGGGAACCATGGTTCTATTCATCTTGTTTTGGGGGACAGGTCCAGATACCCCCATCTTCAGAATCTCTGTTGACAACATACAAGTTTCTATGTTCTCCAAACTGCTAGATGAATATTTCCAGTTATTATAGGAACTTCCTTATCTTGCACTAATCTAGCAGTGGCACTACAGTAGGGTCTAGATGTTTCTGAAGCAGAGTAATCATTCAGCTAAAGGAGCAGATGCTTTATTTCATCCTTACAGGTGCTCCCAACCAAGTAATTATTTTATTACTCATATTCCTTTTTTTAAAAGTTATAGTTGGACACAATACCGTTTTATTTTATTTATTTATTTTTATATGGTGCTGAGGATTGAACCCAGGGCCTCACATGTGCTAGGCGAGCACTCTACCACTGAGCCACAACCCCTGCCCTTCCTTTATTGTTTGGGTAACAGAATGCTCATCTCTTAGAAGGTCATAAGTAGGAGGTGGGACATTGTTCAATTGTTGTTGATTCTCATTAGAATTTAGACAAATAATACTTCTTGCCAGGTGTAGTGGTGCACACCTTTAACTGCAGTGACTTGGGAGGCTGGGGCAAAAGGATCACAAGTTTCAGGTCAGCTCTGGTAATTCAGCCAGACCCTCAGCAACTTAATGAGACCCTGTCTCAAAGTAAAAAGTGAAAAAAAAAAAGTCTGGGGACATGGCTTAGTGGTAAAGTGGCCCTGGGTTCAATCCCAAGTACCGAAAAAAACTTTAAAAAAGGGACACCTGGGAAGAAACTGTGGACCAATAGTCTCTGAAATACCATTTATGATAAAGAATTTAGAACCAGAATAAGGTTACCCCTAAAATAATACATAAGTAATCCAGATACTATAATCTAGATTATAATTTAGAAAACCAGATTTATTAATTTTACAGAAACAGAAAGTAGAATGATAGTTACCAGGGTTGGGGTGGGAGGGTGAGAAATTATTGTTTGATGGGTATAGAGTATATTTTGCAAGATGAAAAAAATTCTGGAGGTCTAATGCACAACAATGTGAATAGATTCAACACTACTGAAATACACACTTAAAAATGGTTAAGATAGTAAAACAGAATAAAGAAAATGTGATATCTGATATTGAGTTGACAAGAAAAATTTATTTTGTAGGAAAGAAACATCTAGATATTGCCACAGATGGCCCTGGTATGTCCACAGTACCATATATAAAAGGACAATTGCTCACAATGACAACACTGAAGCACTGAATGATACCAAAGTACTTTCTGAAATCCAAGAAGTCAAATTACACTTAGAATGGGTTCTGATGTCCTCACATAGATCAAAGTTTAATACTCTGACATTGGGAAAACCAGATAACCAATCATTATTATAGCTTTTGGTGATATATAACTTGGTGATAAGCAAGTCTTTTGGTGATAAACTTACAATACTCATCTGGCATATCTCCACACAAATAGTTAAAAATCCAATTTATTGGTCAAGTGACATATTGCTTGAATTCATTAAATATATTTGGACTTCATTTAAACAAACCAATGTACAATAAGTTACCATATGAAAAGTGCTCGCTGTTTTTACAGGATCGTTAATACTTTGGGAAAGATGTGTATGAATGAACGCTATACTATTTTTGCCTTTTAAAACTTGCATCTAACATTTCTGCTCAATATTACAACCAATTTTGTGATTTTTTTGTAAGAAATCAACAAGTCTTCAATTCTCAAATTCTTCTCTTTTCTTCCTCATCATAGCTTAAATTCAGTACAGATCAATAGGTATCTTAGGATTTGTGTACATTCTTACTCCTTAACACCAACAGTTCTTCAGAGGCCTGAAATCCAGTATAGGAATTACTGGTTACATTAAGTTCTACAAAAAGCATTAAAAACATTTTCCCTGAAATATACAGAACATGTCATGCCAAGTCTCTTTTTTTATATACTAAACTGGAAGTATTGGTGATTTGCACACATTTCCAAAACAGAATAATTATTTAAACATTAAACCGTACCTTCTATTTTATTTTTATTTTTTCTTGGTACCAGGGGTTGAACCCAGGGGGCTTAGCCATTGAGCCATATCCCCAGCCTTTTTTTTTTTTGAGACAGGGTCTCTCTAAGTTGCTCAGGACTTTGCTAAGTTGCTGAGGCTGGCTTTGAACCTGCGATCCTCCTGCTTCAGCCTCCTGAGTTGCTAGGATTACAGGCGTGTGCCACCACGTCCAGCTAAACCATACCTTTATTTTATTAACATAACTGACCTTATAAGCATAACAAATGGCAATATTCAATACAAAAATCACAAAATCCACTAGCTTTAAATGCTGCATTTTGTAGCACAAACTCATCTTCCTATGACCTACTTAAACTATTGACAGCAATATTTTTTAAGCTACTCTAGCATTCATATCCTAATTAGAAATTTATACGAAACACAATTTTATGTTCAAATATGGAAATAAGTAACATAATTCCAAAACCCAAAAGTATCCCAGCATTCTGTAAAAAGAAATAGCCCCAACGGCTACATCCATGGTCACTAGCATCATTGTGCAGCATCTCAGGTACCTTAAAGAGAGGGGGGGAAAATAAGAGTCAACATTTAAATTTTTAGAACTACAGATTAATTTTCCAAAAATTTTTTAGGATAGTATACCAACTTTTATTTGTAGTTGAATATACTATGGGCAATTCATGAAAATATACATACTAACTCTAGGTAATGTTAATAGCACTTCCTAGTAGTTTAATTAACAATGATTATTGTGTTTTGAGCAAGTGAAAATTTTTATTAGTCCAGTTTGCTCCACTGTGAAATAGAAAACTATATTGATTGTCCTGCTTCAATTGATTGCCTACATATCTGAACTAAACACAATGCGTGGCTCACCTGAGTTCAGAGACAGGAAACCTTACACTACATAAAGTTTCAGCAATAAGATTGGCTGAGATTGTTTATGTGAACTTTGGTGACAAAAGAATATATAACTCCTTTGACAATAAGGACACTTTCAGCATTCTGAAATACACACAGCATTCCAACAATGTGGCTTGTTCTAGGTTTCCTACAAATCTATAGACAATTCAGTGCCTAATATCAAGATTCTACTGTAAAAAGATATATCAGAAGGGGCAAGTATTTTTATGTATCTGGATATACATTAGGTAGCATAAAAATGTGCCTGTAATTAATCAACAATCACTCAAAGGAATCTGTATTTTTATATCCCACTTTTAAAAATTTAGAATCATTTATTACTGCTGCATTTAACATAAAACCTTTTTGTGAATGAACTTTTACTGAATATTTCTTTTATTTAAATAGTCAATGTCTGACTTCTTAAAAACTTACCATATCAACCAGAGCGACATACATGAATAAGCCAGCAGTAAGTGCAAATATCCACATGGAAACATTTTCAGCATAATGACCAATGAAAATTCCTGTTGCCATCCCAAGATAGGCCAGCATGGCTGACAAAGCGTTGTAAAGCACAGCCTGCTTAACGGTCATGCCAGCCTTCAATAAAACAGCAAAGTCACCTTTAATAGAAAATAGGATGAAATAAGTGCAAAGTCATTTTTAAGATACCTTCTCTGATTTAAGAAAATTCTCCAATTTAGAGAGAAAGAAAGAAATACCCAGCGTTAGAGCAGAGTTAATCACTAGAAATCATCCTAACAGTTCTATAAACTAAAAAAATCTTTAACCAAAGTTTTCTTGAGGCTTGCACTTTTGTCAGTGAATAAATACCATGAATCTACTGACTATTGAGCTTTTGCTCTGCTTCAGGGAGCTTAGAACTGGCAACAAAGGAGGAGGAGAGGGTGGAGAGTACACATGAAATCATCAGCAAAAGATAAAAGCACAATATAATTATGAGCTAATGAGTGTAATGTTACAATTTAAAAGGTGAAAAAGAGATGGAAATAGTTCAAAGAGGCCTCATGAGGCATGACGGATCTAGAATATGGAACACAAGTGAGATATTGAGGCTTATGAGTTGAATAGTTGAACACATGCCAAGAAACAAAACAGAAAATGTTAACAGGGGTACGCGAATGAATGTGACCACAAGAAGAAAATCTAGAACACAAACTGGGATCCAAAATAACTATGAAGGTTTCAATTACCAATGACAAAGAATATTATTTAAAATACAACTCATTAGCCAAGCATGGTGGTGCAGGCCTATAATTCTAGCAACTTGGGAGGCTGAATTAGGAGGATCACAAGTTTAAGTCCAGTCTCAGAAACTTAGATCCTGTCTCAACACAAAACAAAACTAAAGCCCCCCACCAAATCTCATCAATTCCCTCTTTTTTCAGCTATAGTAAGATGCTCTTTCCCAACTTCCCTCGTTAATGGAAGATGATTCCTTTGTATGCTATAGTTTCATTCACAGTGTGTGTATGAAGACAGTTCACTGATGTCACCAGTACATGACATAGAAAAATATTTGGTAGAGGAAGAGGGTAATCAGGTACCTCTTTGACATACCCACACAGGCAACTGTGTACCTGTAGGATTCAGCCTGAAAACAAGCTTGGCCAAGGAAGAAAGGAAAGCTGACTGGGTTAGTAAACTTATGGGAAAGGATGGAAGTTAAGAAGAAGCCTGCTGGAAAGCTCATCAGCAAAATCCAGCAACACGAAGACATTTTACTCCTATGGCAAATACAGTTTACATGGTCCTCTTCTTACCTAACTCATGAGGCAACTCATGACAAAACACAGCAACAGAAGTACTTAAACCACTTGACAAGCCTTCAGTGAAAGCAGCACCTATATAAAAATCAAACAGAAGAAAATTGTCACATGGGTTTGTGTGTCTTTTAATACTGGCACCTAAAGTGGGGTAAAAGAAATAAATTATACTTTGGCTGTACAACCTTCCTACCCTACTTCTTTGTTTTTTTTTTTTTTTTTTTAATGAGAATTTATTTATTTTTTTAAGAGAGAGTGAGAGAGGGGGAGAGAGAATTTTTTTTTTAAATATTTATTTTTTTTAGTTCTCAGCGGACACAATATCTTTGTTTGTATGTGGTGCTGAGGATCGAACCCAGGCTGCACGCGTGCCAGGTGAGCACGCTACTGCTTGAGCCACATCCCCAGCCCCCTACTATCTTCTTAATAAGAAATCTAAGATTACATTTCAGTGGGTCTAAAATATCCAGAGGAGCACAAACAAGTATGACAGAGAAGGGAAGGTTCAACTATGCCTTAGAAAGAGAGGATCTTTTAAACCTGAGAAGTAACTGCTACTACATAAAACACTCAGTCAAGAATATAAAATAAGCTGATCTAAAAGGTTTGGAAGAAAAACACTTGCTATCAAGGGTGTAAATGTTTCATTGACCTCACTCAGGAATTCACTATATAATTAGACTTGTTTATATTCATTATTTCATTATCTCACAAGGAGACTCAAATTGCTACCCCCCTTAACAAAGCCAACATATTATACAACTGATCAGTTATCAACCACGACTGTGCATTTGGACATTAGTCCTTTATCTGCTTACATCACATGCAACAGTTTGTTGAAGGAAGCACAACAGACTCCCGAGTATCCAGAGCCCAGGTTCCTCTTGGTCTGGCTATAAAACAGCACTGTCTCCTTGGGCAAGTGTCACCTATCCAGACTTCAGTGGTCTAATTTGTAATTACTTTTATGATTCCTTCTAGATTACTAACATTTATAAACATTTTATTATCTACTAATTGTGGTGTAACAGCTTAATACAAAAATTCTGCAATTCTTCTTTGGATATATTGGTAACTGGACTTATCAGATACATGAAGATTCCTTTAGCATAAAAGAAAAGATGGAAAAGATTTTACCTTAATAAGCATAGATTTTATTACTTATAAAGGAACTTCAATGTATAAGGGAGAAAAACGTCCCACATGCTCCCTACAATTTCTAGCCTGATGTTAAGACTTTTCTAGTGAAGAACTTTTGATGGTTCCAATTTATGCAATAGGCTAGGCACAGTTTCTAGCACTTAGTTCTGGCTAATATTTATTAAGTACTTCATTGTCAAAGTAGCCAAAGGGGAGAAAATCTTTGATCATCTTGGAAACCATTAATATCCTCATCTAAACTAACCTATTTTTTTTTTAAATGGCAAGATCTACTTTCTTTTAATTTTTTTTCTTAGATCTTTATTTTATTTATTTATATGTGGTGCTGAGAATTGAACCCAGTGCCTTACACATGCCAGGCAAGTGTGCTACCACTGAGCCACAGTCCCAGCCCAAAACTAAACTATTTTTTTGTCCAATTTGTTTAATGTAACATTTTCTGAGTCAATCAACAAGGAACCAATATATAGATTATACCAATTGCTAGGCCATCGCTGAAGTTGTGCAGGCCATCCCCCATTATCACCATCCAAGCCAACGTGGCAATGCCAGCATCTTTCAGCTCCTCCCGAGAGTAGCGCTGACTGTGACTGTGGGGGTGATGGTTTTGGTGGTGATGGTGATGGAGAATATGATGATAGTCATGATGATGGTGAATGAGGTCATCTGACTGGCCCAGTGTATCATGGAAATGTGAATGGCATTTGTTTTTGCACCCTCTGGGTACATATTCATTGTAGACTTCCTGAGGATGAGCATGAGCTATCATGACCTCTTCTTCTTCCAAGATTGCTGGCTGCTGAGAATCAAAGTGGGAGGGCTCTTGTGAGTCTGCTCGTAAATAGCCTTCAGGTCCTAGGAATCAACACAAAGGATATTGGGACAAAGTCAGAAGATTTCATTAATGCACTTGATTACATTTCAGACATTACCACTGACAATTAAGGTCAACAAATGATCTTAAAGCATGATAACTCTCCTACACCTACTGACCTAAGCATACGTATTTGTTGAAAAAAGAGATTAACAGATCTTAATGAATTTTAGAAACTGAATGATTTAACAAATTAATGTATTCAAACATTAACCTTCAACAGCTATTTCTTCATTGTCCTTTAATTTCTTCTGCCTCCCTAGAGGTTAAAAGATAAAATTTTTCTGATTATTTTGATCCATAGCACCACATATAAATAAAAGTTTAAAAAGATGAATTTTTCTGATTATAAAAGAATCACATAATTATTTTTTAAAAATATATTGTTAGATATTTAAAATATATTTTATTTATTTATTTATTTACTTATTTAAGTTTTCGGCAGATACAACATCTTTGTTGGTATGTGGTGCTGAGGATCAACCCGGGCTGCACGCATGCCAGGCGAGTGCGCTACCGCTTGAGCCACATCCCCAGCCCTTAAAATATATTTTAGAAAAAATTTTTTTAGAAAAATATTGTGAAATAAAAAAATATGCACAATCCTGTCATCTGACTTCTTTTTTAAATAATAAAATTCAAGGAAAAACAAAATAATCTGAATTATTTCACCATCACCAAGAAGCATTTATTATGTGGGCAAAGAAAAGCAAATACCAACAATAAAGTTGTTCTGTATTTCTTCTAGAATCAGTTTTTCTTTATCCTATAATCAATTTTCTTGAAGGCATCCCTGACCCCTTGGTCCAATTATTATACATTTCATTGAACTCCATTCAAAAATTTGAGAGAATAGCTTCAGAAAGAAGAGTGAAAGCGTTTATCTTGATCTTTAGGAGAAAAAAAACCCAGCATGTTGGAAAATTTAGGGTGAACAGAAAGCCTTACAGACAGGCAGTAGTAAGAACAGAAGTTTTTGATCCTGTAGTCAGTCAGTATCCACTGAGCACCTATGTCATGCTGAGCATTTTGGCCCTGGGGATAGATTGAAGATAACAGAAATACCTGCCTTCAAGAAACTTAAATATTTGTGGGGAAAGAGCCACTTAGCTAGGAAGTACTTGTACAAACAAGTAATCTGAGGCACTGGTAAGTACAAATTAGTAAAGGGTAACATGAAAGAGAGTTATTGGAAGATCTGTATTTGAGCGATGAGGAAAGCCTTTGAGGAGGAGGCATCTGAGCTTTTAAAGGATAAGAGGAATTTATATGAAAATCTGGGAGAAGGGCATTCAAGCTGAAGGAACAGTGAGTACAAGGCCCTGAGACAAACCTCCTGTGCTCACTGTAAGAAAAAAAGGACATGAGGCTGGAGCAGAGTTGAACAATGAGAGAGATGAAGGGCATGATAGGACTTCAAAGGAGTTTGATTTAAACTATGAATCTTGGGGCTGGGTGAAGAGCGCTTGCCTAGCACATGTAAGGCACTGGGTTTGATCCTCAGCACCACATAAAAATAAATAAATAAATAAATAAATAAATAAAGGTATTGCGTCCAACTACAACTAAAAAATAAGTAAATAAATGAAATTAAAAAAAAATTAAGGTACTATGTCCATTTACAATTTACATATATATGAATCTTAATAGTGTTCAACAAAAATGCCAAACCAACAGTCATTACAGAAAAACAGCAACTTTACAGTAGAGAAAGATGGGAGACAGAACCTGAGCCAAGTGATCAAAATTAGCACCACCTATAAGTGACGGAGCTTCATATTGGGCAGCACATCATGTTACTAAAAAGGGTACAACACCCTTTGTGCAAGCGACAGAGCATCATATTGGGTGGCACATCATGTTACTACAAAGGGTACAACACCCTTTGTTGTACTTCCTGCCGAAACTCATCATTTAATCATTAAAAGACATTAGACAAACTCAAAATGAGAAGCAATTAAATGGAACATTTGATTCTGAATTGTATTCTGGACCATTTTTTTTTTCCAGAAATTAAGAGAACTAGAAAAAAACAAACCAAAAAAAAAAAAAAAAAGAGAACAGAACAGTTGTATAGACTATAGAATGACATTGCACCAACAGAAAACTACTGATGTTTTAAAAAAATATTTTCTTTTAGTTGTAGTTGGACACAATACCTTTATTTCTTATTTATTTTTATGTGGTGCTGAGGATTGAACCCAGGGCCTTGCACATGCTAGGCATGTGCTCTACCACTGAGCCACAACCCCAACCCAGAAATCTCTTGATTTTGATAAGTGAATTGAACTGTGGTTATAAACAAAATGTCCTTTTCATAGGAGACATACTCCGAAATATTTAGAGGCAAAGAAGTGTCACATCCACAACTTATTCTCAAAGTAGTTCAGGACAAAAACATGTGTGTATGTGTATATAGACAGAAATAGAGTGAATGACAAATAAATTTAATAAATAAATAGGGCTGGGGATGTAGCTCAGTGGTGGAGTGGCTGCCTAGCATGTACTAGATTGGTCCTGGGTTCAATCCCTAGTGCAATAAACAACAAAAACCAAATATGTAATCAATAAGTAAACAAGGAATCTAAAATAGGGAAGGGGATATTAGAATTCTTTCTATTATTTTCAAATTGTTTCTTTTCTTTTGCTTTTTTTAAAGTATATATTTTTTAGTTGTTAATGGGCCTTTATTTATATGTGGTGCTGAGAATCGAACCCAGTGCCTCACTCATGCTAGGCAAGTGCTCTACCACAGAGCCACAACCCCAGCCCTTAAATTGTTTCTATAAGTCTGAACTGATCTCAAAATAAAAACCTGTAGGGATTGGGGATGTAGCTAGGTGGTGAAATGTGTACTTAGCATGCATGAAGCCTTGGGTTCTATTCCCAACAAACCATCTCCCCACCAAATAATACAGAAAAAGAAATGTAAATATACACAGAAACAACTTACTAATTGAAAAATTTTAAAAGTATGAGATACTGAAAAAAAAAAAAAAAAGAATATAATCACACTTCTTTCAAATAGTCTGAGTTGCCTACAAATCCCAGTGCAACCCACTCTGCCTTGTTCCTGGCCCTCAGATTCACTCATAGGGACTTACGATCATCTGTATCTACTTTCTCCTCATTTGTTGAAAGTTGAGATTCATACTTGGACAACTGCTTCTTAATCTCCACGTCATCGTCATTTTCAGGTTTTTTTTGATTCTAAAATAGTAAGGAAAAGCAATACTTTGAAATACTTGATTTGATATAGGAAAAGACAATACGATTAACACATTTCTACCAGAATGAAAGCCATCTAAGGACAGGGCCTGTAACGATTTGCATAGTACTTACTAGTGAATCTTAGGTACGGTAGCTGTCAGAAAATTAAAGAATGCCTCAGTAATATGAGATGAAGGAAAATCACACATTAATCCTCCTGAAACTAATACTGAATGCCTCCTAGATTATCTACTCTAGCTGTTGTCTTACACAAGCAGCACATCATCCCCTGGGAATGTGGCAGAAAGGCACACTCTTAGGCCACAGCCTAGAACTGATGAGTCAGAATTTGGATTCTAATTAGATCCCCAAGTGATTCATCCCACATTAAAACAGAAACTCTACCTTAGGTTATTAATTTAGAACCAGTTAGAGGCATATCCTTCAGGTACTAGATGATCTGCTACCCAACTAGGCATGGAAACCCCATACTTCTCACAGTTTTCATAACTGAAAAACTATACTAAAATACTTTTCCTATCAAAACACCATTAACATGTTTTCTCTTTTTAAACAAGTCTCTGTCACAGCCTTGAAATTATCACTAGGCCTTTTTTTTAACCACCCCAAATACTGTGTTTGAGAGATTGTCCTTGAGTCAAAGCAACATTTATATTATATAAAGGTCACACTGACAATGGTATCTGTGTATTACCTACTTATGCAGAATATTTAAAATGATGAAAATTATCATACAAATAGTGAATTTCTTATTTGTACTACCTCTGAGTATGAGGTAAACAACTGCCACCAAAACTGAGGTTATTTTTTAGGTTTAACAGCATGTAAGATATCTATACATTCTTAGGTTACAAGAGTTTTTAAACAAACATAGACCAAACTTTATATTTATCCCTATCATAGTGCCTCAGAGAAAGTACTTGGATATTTGTGAAAATAAATGAAATCAAGATTTTTTTTTTTTTGGTGCTGGGGATTGAAACCAGGGTCTTATGCATGTGAGGCAAGCACTCTACTAACTAAGCTAAATCCAAGCCCAAATTCAGGATATTTGAAAAGAAATTTTTTTTATAGTTGTGGATGGATTTTTATTTATTTTTTTATGCATTGCTAAGGATCAAATCCAGTGTCTCACACATGCTAGGCAAGCACTCTGCCACTGAGCTACAGCCCCAGACCAAATTCAAGACATTTTTTAAAGTTTGATTTAAAACTTTAAATCAAAGTTACTTTTTGATTGACAAATAGTAATTGCACATATTTATGGAGTGAATTAAGGGTATCTTAAATAATTTTTGTTGGTGCTTTATTTCTCATTGAATAATGACTTTAGAACTTAGAGCTTAACAAATTCTTTTATTCCTTAAGTATTAACAACTTATAAATATTTCTGTACTAAATAATGACAGCTCAACATAAAACAAGATAGTTTCTGTTGTCATGGGGCTTATCATCCATAGGGAGGGGATGTTACACAGATAATTATATAATTTTTTGCTTGCAATCTTTGTTACATTTTACAAAAGAAAAACATAGGGTGTTATTAGAGGCTATCATAACAAGACCTACATAAGTTTCAGGACAAGCTTTTGAAAAAGTATGATGATTGCACTAAGACTTAGGGATAAGGAGTTTGCCAGGGAAGGGTGGAGTAGGCAGTATTCCATGCAAGGCGAAAAATGAGGAGAGGCTCTGAAGCATCAAGGGGCCAGCATCATCCTGGAACTAAAGGTACAAGGTGGCTGGGGCCTGGTAGGCCAGAGAGAGGGTGGCTAGGGACAAGGTTGAGGCAACAGAAGTAGTTCAGATGATGCAAACCGTGTTAAAATGGTAGCCTGGGGCTGGGGTTGTGGTTCAGTGGTAGAGTGCTTGCTTAGAATGCGTGAGGCCCTGGGTTTGATCCTCAGCACCACTTAAAAAAAAAAAAAAAAGAAAAAAAAAAAAAAAAGATATTAAAAAAAAAAAAAAGAAAAGGAAATGGGAAGTCACAGAAGGATTTTAAATAGTGGTGTATAATCTCATCATCTTTTTTTTTTTTTTTTTTTTTTTGGTGTGTGTGTGTGTGTGGGTGGGTACCGGGGATTGAACTCAGAGGCATTCAACCACTGAGCCACATCCCCAGCCCTATTTTGTATTTTATTTAGAGATAGGGTCTCACTGAGTTGCTTAGCACCTTGCTTTTGCTAAGGCTGGCTTTGAACTCATGATCCTCCTGTCTCAGCCTCCCAAGCCCCTTGGATTATAGGTGTGTGCCATGACACCCAGCTCTCATCATCTTTTCATTTAAACAAATCACTGCCAGCTCTGTGAAAACTGGACTGGGAGAGGAGGAAGAGAAAATCATGTGCACAGGTTAGTTAGGAGGTAACAGCTGTCACTAAGGTTAGAGATAATCAGGCCTAGATTAGAATAACTGCAAGGAAGAAGGGGAGAAATGGAAATACCATGAACTTATTTATTTACTAAAAACTGGCTGGGTATGGGGAAGAGAGGGATGTCACAAATGATTCCCTGGTAGCAAGTAAGTTTAAAGATGAACTCTTATGAGGGTCCAACTATATAAATATATATCTAGTATGAGATAGAGATTTCAGACTGACTTAAAATTATGCAATATAGAATCTCCCAGGAGCATAGCTTGGCTTTCTGAACAAAAATTCCAAGTAAAATACCCTATTATGGTACTGAAGAACTCTCAACATTCACCATTTAATGAGTTTTTTTTTTTTTTCTTTTTGAGGGAACAAGATTGGTATTAAGTATCAACCACTAACATTTGGATGTCCTTGACCAAAAATAAACTCAACATATTCTAAACAAGGAAGAGAATATATGTTTTTAAGACTCCCATGGAAAGACTGTGTCTAGAAATTACACTTACTTGCTGCCCCCTAAGTGCTTATATACTAGGAGATAGTAATTTTTGAAAAATATTTTTAGCTGTAGATAAGACACAATACCTTTCTTTCTTTATTTTTATGTGGTGCTGAGGACCAAACCCAGTGACTCTTATGTATGAGGCAAAGGCTGAGCTAAAACCTCAGCTTGGAGATAGTATATATTCAAGCCAGACTGGTAAAGCAACTGGGAAAGGGGAACATGGAAGATTACTTCCTAGATTAAAAATGAATAAACTGATGGGTATGGTGGTGCATACATGTAATCCCAGTGGTTCAGGAGGCTGAGACAGGAGGATCCCAAGTTCAAGGCCAGCCTCAGCAAGTTAGCAAGGCTGTAACCAACTTGGTGAGACCCTGTCTCAAAATAAAAAACAAAAGTGCTGAGGATGTAGCTCAGTGGTAAAGTGCCCCTTGGTTAAATCCCCAGAAACAAGGTTGGGGGTGAGGGGCAGTGAGGAAGCAATTCACTTTTTTGTTTTTTTAACGTATTTTTTTTTTTAGTTGTATATTTCAGATGGAAACAATATCTTTATTTTATTTATTTATTTTTATGCGGTGCTAAGGATCAAACCCAGGGCCTCACTCATACAGGGCAAGTGCTCTATCACTGAGCTACCACCCCAGATTGGAAGCTATTCTTATTAGTACTTCTTCCCTCCAAATTTAAGTCTACTAAAGAGAAGGTTTAAGGCTGGGTGCAGGGCTGGGGATGTGGCTCAAGCGGTAGCACGCTCGCCTGGCATGCGTGCTGCCCGGGTTCGATCCTCAGCACCACATACCAACAAAGATGTTGTGTCCACCGAGAACTAAAAAATAAATATTAAAAAAATTCTCTCTCTCTCTCTCTCCTCTCTCACTCTTTCTTTAAAAAAAAAAAAAAAAAAAAAGGCTGGGTGCAGTGGCGCACTCCTGTAATCCCAGTGTCTCAGAAGGCCAAGGCAGAAAGATTGTGATTCAAAGCCAGCCTCAGCAACTTAGTGAGGACCTAAGCAACTTAGCAAGACCCTATCTCTCAATAAAATTTTAAAAAGGGCTGGGGATGTGGCTCAGTGGTTAAGTGTCCCTGGGTTCAATACCTTGTACAAAAAGAAAAAAAAAAGTTCAAAAATTTTAATGTGAGATTTCACTAACTGCAAAACCCATAAGGGCAAATGTTCATGGGAGGGAGGACGCTGCTCTCCTGTTCACACATGCACTTGATTCCCACAGTGAGCTCAATGCAAGAATCAACTGTGTTAGTTTTCAAACCTCTTCATGCCAGTTAAACTTGTTACTATAATTGCACAATTTAATTACATGTTGCTCAAACTATGACATGATGTGAGAATAGTTACTTCTATGAACATGTAAGTCTAATGCTTTTAAAAAACTCAAAGACAAGTTGCTAAAAACAACAACAACAAAAAACAACATTAAATCATGTAAGATAACCACTGTATAAAATATTTAAAATTTCCAAGATCTAGATTCTACATTTAGAATAGCTTTACAAGTTTGTAACCTCTTCTTCAATTTTACAGAAACTAAAATGGGAAATTGTACATGAAATGTTGCATGGTTATTTTAAAAACATACATGACATATAATACAAAACTTCAACTCAAAGAAAATCCTGATCAACATCAAATGAGTGTAGATATTTTGTTAAATTAATGTGTCTAGGATGTGCACTCATCACTTTAAGAGTCCCTTCCAATAATCTTTCAACTGACTTGCCTGACCACATCAGATAGAAAGGCAGATGACCTTAGGGGACTCAAAAGGTATTTTTGCCAGAAATAAAAAACTTAACTTGGCTTCATACTATTTCATGGTCTAATTTGCAAAGAGCAAGCCTGTGAAAGTCACATACCTTTTTAAAGAGAACAATCAGCTACTGGTTAAATAACTTAAAATTAAACACAATAGTTAATCATAAACACCAGTAAGTATTTGTAACACTTCTAGTCTTGAAAATCCAGCTTGTGCCTTGTGTTTGGTAATTTATATGAATGCTTATTGTTGCCTTTCTTATTTTCCCATGAATTACAAGGAACAGTGAAGATAGAAAACTCCAGGATTAAAAAGATACAGAACTGGGGCTAGGGTTGTGGCTCAGGGGTAGAGTTCTCGCCTAGCACGTGTGTGGCCCTCAGCACCACATAAAAATAAAAAAATAAAGGCACTGTGTCCAACTACAACTAAAATATAAATTAAATAAAAAATACAGAACTGCTCTACAGGAATGTCCTCAGGAATAAAAAGTACCTTGAAGGTATAGAACCCCTCTTGAGCAATGATCATATACCCTTCATGAGATACTCTAACAATCTAGTTAGAGTGCTACTCTAAATGAATGTCTGATGCAGTGAGTACTCAGTATGCATTTTCTTACCTTTTTCTTCTTATCTTTAAATTGCTTAATCAATGTAAGTACGTGTTCAACAAGAAACATGAAATACAAGCCTCCTAGAGCCGTCAGACCTTTCCATGTAGAATCAAAATAGGTACTTTCTTCTATGTTTTGAGAAGACAGATGACTGAAAAGTGGACCTCTTTTCATTTCCATTGCTGGTTCTTCATGGCTATGACTATGATGGTGACTTGCATGAGACTAAAAGCAAAATGATATGTAATTTGTAAATTCATTAGTGTCATAAATGTCAGAAAAATTGGTTGGGTAGTAGGGTCAAATTTGAAAACATTTAGAGTTAGGCAATTAATGGGGTACTTCATAGTTGAAGGGACAGTAAAAATGAAATGCCCAAGTATGTTATGTACCATGTACTTAATATTGAGTAGTGGATCTGTTTAGTGTAAAGACAGATACATTCCCCAGAAATCCTCATAATATAGATAGGGAGTATTCTCAATGTTTGACAAGTTGCCATAAACACAATTAACAGGGAAATGCTACATTTAATAAGACATTGTATCTACTGCTTATACTTCCACCTGAGAGGTTCATAATGGGGTCACCAGAATGGCCTTGTAAGAATCTAGTCTGTGTGTAGTGATGGTCCTGGCAGATATCTGAGATTCAGGTTCACTGACCCAGGAGCCAAAGCTGAGTGGAGTAATAACAAGCTATTGCTACTACGTGTGAGGGAACCGGATGTGGAGCACACAACTGAGGCCACAGGGACACCCCATGCCAGGGCTACATCGTGTAGCATGTATTCCTGAACATCTGTCATCTGGTTGTCAGAGAGCCTATCATAGCAAAATAGTTTTCTTTCACTATTGAATATAATATGAATTTTGTATGTTCTAGGAATGGAATGATTTCATTTTCCTACTTACCTGAAAAATCTCTAAGGGAAATTTTAAAAGTGAGATCCAAATATTTTTGGCCTGAAACTTATCCCAAATATTTAATGGACAAATAAACTCACTTTACTAAACTTGTTTTACTGAAGAATTCACTCATGTTATAAAGTGTGGAGTTCTAAAAATAAATAAATAAATAAATTCAACTCTGAAAAAAACCTCTAGGTTTCTTGGGAACATAAAGGTCATATATTTTATTTGTGTGGCTATTACATAAACAGATTAATTCCCATCCATTATTACAGTCTGTCACAGTACTAATATCTGAGCAGAATTTTTTTTTAATTAAGTAGGTTCAAAAAATTAAGTCCATATTTAATAGATTTTCTTATAAAGAAAAGAAAAAAACAAGTATTAAAGTCTAGACAAAAATGTATATTTCAGTTATCAAATATATTTTAAAACTAAATTCTCTAAATCAAATTTATAACATTTTATATGTAATGATACAAAGAATTCTAATATAAACCAAATATACACAAATATTTTCAATACTGAATAAAAACACATTGGTAGAACAAATTACTGTACTTACATGTGGAAGAAGGTGTAATAAAGCATCGCCACTCAAAGTCCCAACGGCCAATGCCACAAGGAAACTTAGGAGAAATTTGAAAAACACTCGATTCATGAGAGGCACCAAGATAACCCCCAGCAAAGATAGGAAACTGATGATGGAAATGGCTATAAAGCCACCAACCCAGGCTGTTGTAACAGAGCAAAAGAAAAACATAGTCAATAAATTTCTAAATGGAGACCTTTGGAGAATGACATAAAGCAACACTGAAAAACAAAAAAGTTATAAAGATACAAAAATTCAGTGCAAAAAAGACTGTGGCAATAGCACCATAACCAAAAAAACACTGACTGCTCAAAGGAACAAGCTGGCTGGTAATTAAGAACCCTCCAGGTGAGGGGAATAAGCCTAGTGGAAACGCTTCAAGTGAGGATAGGAGGAGGAAAAAAGCATTATCAAGGATGAATGCTAGCTCAAGCTTTTGGATTCCCATTATCCATAAAAGCTAAGTTAAGAAGGCTGGAGTTGGGCAGACAAAGAGAAGAAAACAGGGAACTCAGTGATTTCCCCAGCAAATAAGGCAATTATTTCTTCCCCATTATTGCTTTTGAACAATGTGACCCTACATTATAATATGGCTTATCTTAATTTTATTTACCAAGAACTAGGTTCCTAAGCAGAAGAGATAAACTGATTTCCCCCCTAAATAGTATATCATGATATTTGAAAAGCCCAAATTTGAGATGATCCTGATATCTCCTGTGGGATGATTTCCAACAAATCATCATCTAAGTTTTCTTTCTTTCTTTCTTCTTTTTTTTTTTTTTTAGAGGGAGATTAACATACTTGCTTTCTTCACATATAGGGCAGAGAACAACTAAAATGATACAGGTAGAAATGTGTTAAAGAATGAATAGATGCAAATATAAGAACAACATAAATGTCTCCACTGGAAATTATTTTTTACATAAAAAAATGCAATTCTACCTATTTGTAAAGAATAGGTCTTTGGAGGGATTTCAGCTTTCTTTTCACTTGTTGTATGAATCAGACAAGATCTAGCATCAATTTGATTGATGATGGCTGGGCAGAGATAGTTGAACTCAGTGGCATTCAGTGGAATTTGGATGCCCATGCCATGAGATGTAAGCAGCTTTGAAGCATTGAAACACTGAAAGAAACAAAGCAGTGAGTCACCAAAAGATACTACCTTTAGAGAATCTGAAAATTCATTCTGACAAAACATTACCTTTACCTTATTAAAGCTATTTCTTCATTTGTTTAAGTCAGTGCAAGTTAAAATCAACTTTTGTTTTCAGTACTTTGGAACTTGCCTCTAGGTGTGTGGAGATCCTGTGTCACATGGTGATATGCTACCCTCTTCTGCCTACTTGGGAGAAGCAGTTACATCACTAGTCACATAGGGAGAAAGCCTCAAGTAGAACAAGCTTGGGGATAAATGGAGATTCACAAGCCTGTTAACTCATTGTATAAACCTATTAAGGAAATGAGCTTTAATTTCGAAATGGGGTTCATTAGAGATTGAGAAATATATTTTAGTACAAACGCTATCCTACTTGGTCCAAACAAGCCCAAGACATGTTGTTCTCCCAGCAATGACCCTACTTGCAAAAACTTAGCTCAGTTCTGTCTACATACCTGGCAAAATAATGCTCTACAATGAGAATATTAAATTATTCAGATTATGCTTGTGGAGGGCAATGCTGGTTAATAAATGAACTTGTACAGGCACGAAGATGTTTTGAACAATTTAATTGGATGACAAGCTCAGTTTGAAGAGAATCTCCTCTGTGCCATTTAATCTCTCCACCAAAGGAGTGGGGTGAGGTGGAGGGACTCAGAACTGGCTATAGTACCCGTTTCTCATCTTCTATGAAGACATTTCAAACTCTCATAATTCTTGGTCAATCCTACTCAGAATGAACTTCATCACCAGCATTGCTATGGCAATAGTGAGATTCTCCCAAACACGGTACAGTTATATGCTGGTTTGAATGAAGTACTTCTTTCTTTCTTTCTTTTTTGACATCTCTCAGCCAAGGTGAATTATGAAGAGTCTGAAAATCTATTTTAGAAAAATCATGTGATCTCAAAACCTTCTGATGTGATCTTTCACTTGCTCAGTCCAAGGACATTCTTGGTAACTACTTAATTTCATGCATTTCACAAATCATTGTGATTCTTCTGTCAAGGAGGCACCACAGTTTCTCTCTGATGTTCTTAAACCCCTTTCAACAACACTTTTCCCTAAAACACAGATTGTAACTTGTACTTTTTCAACCCTCCATTTTCTTCTTCTTTTTTCAAATGATGCTAGGAACTGAACCCAGGGCCTCAAACATGGTAGACACTCTATCACTAAACGACATCCCACTCCCTGCTATTTTTCATTAATAATATTCATCTTTAAAAGACTCTACCCCAAAATATCTTTTTATAGATATCTGTTTTATTTTTACTTTACATTGCTTATAAATAAGACAGAACAGCAGCGATAATCAGACGAGCATTTATCTTACCTCTTGAGTATTGTCATTTATGTTTCTGGAGTACACAAAGCCCTTTCTGGGCTCACTCACAGACTCATTGATTTTCCTACTAGCCAGCTGGCCCACCCGGGTCTTTTCTGTGATACTGGGTGGGGTGGAACTGCTTACGTCTTTGGGGAGTTTTCCAGATTTCAGAGTCTCTACTGTCTCCAAAAAGTGAGTCCCTTCAGAGACAGTGTTATACACAGTTGAGGTCACTACACTGGCACTGACGCTCTCCTTGACATTTCTTCTACCATCGGTGTGTTCTGGTCGGTGAGATCCTTTTCCCTGGCTGTTTCGAGGATCTTTACTTGAAACATCAGAGTCATGGTCTGGGCAAAGAGCTTTCCGATTATTTTTACCGGAAGCAGCATGATTCCTGTGAGAGCGACGGTCGTGGTCAGGATGATGCTCGTGGTCATGGTGTATATGGATTCTTTTAATCTTATCTATGCCTATATTCTGAAGCAATTTTCTGAACCCTTCAACTGATAAGGAATTGTTCTCCCCATATCGGTAGAAGAGCTGTTGCACATGATGTTGCTGTGTGGTTAATGCCAAGTCAACATTAATGCCAGATTCCCAGTTTGGATTGATTTTCTCAGTGGTCTGAGAGAAAGCAGCTGCTGATTCTAGTTCTTGAAGGAGATTTGTGACGGAAAGGGCTAAGATCAGGACCAAGATCACAGATAAATTCTTTGCCATTGCACCTTCCTAGAAAAGAGAGAAAAGAAAAACTCTCTACCTCACTCCTGTAACAATTTGAAACTTCATGCTGAAAATGAATGTACAATGTATGGCCATACAACCTTAAACATGTCTGATCTCATTTGAAAATGAATGTCTAATCATATAAGGTTTACACAGAATCATTTAATATGATTAGTGTGGTGCAAGGTACTGTGAAGATACGGAGAACTAGAGTTCTAGGGTCTCCTCTTGCATTGTTAAAACACACACAGCAAGTGGAGAACAGCTTAGTGCTAACAGGCAACTAATTCAGCAACTAATTCAGACATTCCTGTAGCCACAGCCATACTGGTAACTACTTATTGTCCTGGGAACAGTAATTCAAAACAAAACCATACTTAACTAACTCCACCAACACCACCATTTCATGAAAGAATTTTTTAACACACACATAAAGTAGAATAATCATCTCAGAATTCACATTTAAGGGCTGGAGTTGTGGCTCAGTGGTAGAATGCTTGCTTAGCACATGTGAGGCACTGAGTTTGAACCCCAATACCACATTAAAAAAAAAAAAAACTAAATAAACAAAATGAAGTTATTAAGAAAAAAAGAATTCATATTTAAAATTTTTCTTAAACTGATAATAGTCTCCTTATACATAAATTCATTTAAGGTCCCTTTCCCTATCCTACACCTCAAAGGTACTTAATTTTACCATTTTTTTTGTGTTTTCATGATATTTTGTAGCCATACTCAAATAAATGTGTACTTTAAACACACAAACGAAATCTTTCTCCCTACCACTCAACAATGAATTAGACATGTCATGTTAGTATACACAGATTACCCTGATTCTTTTAAATGACTGCATAAGAGCTCTTTAAATAAATTAAACTCCATGAAAAACTCACTATCTTATTCTTATATTGCTACAAACCAGTGAAAGTTTTATCATAAACTATTACTCATTCTCATAATAGTATTTAGAACACAAACACTATTCCCCCAAGAGGATTTAGAATGTGAGTTGGGGCTTAAAAAGCAGAGGAAGGTATCCTCAGTTCAGGACCCAGCAAATGTTCAGGACCAATGGTAAGTGGTGGCCAAACCCATGTCCCTGCAAAAGACCCAGAGAGGGAGTTTCACTAAACAAAAGCAAGGGGCAACCAGCTATTCTATTTTGGACCAAATCTCACATTCATGACCTCATCTGAAAAGCCTATGATACCTATTGTGCAAGCTGAATGAGGAAAACACAAATGAATGATGTGGCAGTACTTGTTAAACTCATGTGTTGCCCAAGTGCTGATTACCATCCTGGGAGCAGTGGTATAAGTAGGGTAGGACTATACTCTTGAAGCTTCAGGGGCAGAAATTTTGAGAATTCACCTAACAGGCAAAAGAGAATTATTAAGAAATCATTCCAACAAAACAGAGAGGGGTAGAGGGAGGCAAACCAGTGAGGGGCCAGGTGAGGGATGGGTGGGGACAAGAACAGAGGCAGCTCCAGGCAGCTTCTTGCTTTCCTCCAAGGAGAATGGGGAGGGCAGCCTCAGACCCATCTCTGATCTTCTCCACGGCAAGTTGCTTGTGTTGGAGGGAAAAAGAAAGCCAAAGGAAATGGCCTTGAAAAAAAGGGTGAGTGGTGACAACGGAAAAAGAGGCACAATGCTTTCTTTCTTAGGGCTTTTTATTTTTTAAAAAGTCAATACTTCTTATGGGACAGGGGTATGACAGAATAAAAAAATATATAGAAAGAAGACAAAAAAGGAAGGCTAAGAAAAATAAAATTGTAATTTAAAGTTTTGCATACCTTGCCAGGCCTATCACTCTCCCAACTCTGTCACTCCCAAATTCCTGGGAAATCTATAAATCTGAGAGTAATCATAAATTCACACGCTTATGAAAATCACTGTTAAATTAGCCTGTGCAATAAACAGGTTAATCAAAGAGGGGCATGATATTTTAAGGAACCTATAATTTGGGGGCTTTCCAACCAAATTATCTGACCAGAATAATTGATCAGATAATGGAGATCGCGTCGGCCTAAGGATCCTGAAAATGACCGCACCATCGGAAGCTGGTCTTGTGATCACCAGCCTGATGTCATCCCTATATACCTTCCCAAGCTCACCCCTTACCAAGTTTCCTTTAAAAGAGGGGCAGGGAACCCCAAAACCGCGCCCCTCACTCTCCAGACAGCCCGGCATTGTCCTTTGAATGTTTACCTGCTTTCTTAAACAAATTTGTGTCCCGGCGCGTGCAGAAATTCTTTTCCATCGCGAATGCCCAGGTCCCCAATTGTCCTGAGTCGAGGTTTCCCCCGCTCTCCGGGAGCTCCTCGAACGCACCTCCCGTGACAGAATGAAAAGTACAGACCATCTCCTCAGAAAGTCCTCCGCTGGACCCCGATGCCCATCTTCCCACCCTAAGCTGGCAAGACCCGCTCTCCAGGTGCTCCTGGCGGGCTCCCTCCAGCATCCCTTCTCTACGGTCCCGCTGCCTGGCCCCAGGAGCCTGTCTCTGTTAATCCCCCGCCTGCAGGGCTCCCTTCCTGCCGCCTCACTCTAGAACTTGACGGACTCACCTCTCGGCGGCCTCGCCGTCCCACCGCCCGGGCCCTCGCGCCGGTTCGGTTCTACGCGGGCGGTTCGAATGGATGGGAACCGACCCGTGCTTATCTCTCCCAGCACCTTTACAGGGCACAAAGAAGCGACAGTCTCATCGGCCCGGCGGCCCCTCGGTTTGCGGGTACCGCCGAGCAGCCACTGGGAAGCCGCGCCCCGCGCCCCAGCCTCCCCGGAGCAGGACAATCAGTAATTAACGCCGCGCGCAGCGCGAAGCTAGGGATCACCGCCTCCTGCGGCCAGTAGCACGGCGCACGCGCAGCGCGGCGCCGGAACCCGGTCTCCAAAGGCCGATCCGCTTTCCGCGTGTTCGCCAACGCCGCCGGGCTCTCAGGGGCAGAAGGGGCGGGGACGCGCGGGGTTGGAGGTGTTGGCGCGGTTCCCAGAGGACTGGGAGCAGTTGGCGGGTACTTTTCTTGATCCCGTCTGTGTCCCAGCGCTTCTCTGAGGCCTGAGACTCGCTTGCCAGGGCTACCCGGGCTAGCAGGGTAGCCGGACCGTAAGGGACCGCCCTGGCCCAGGAGCCCCGGTGCTTCTGGAGGGTCCCGAGGCACTCGGGTCGGATTTGGCTGGTGCACTGAGCCCAGGTCCTGGAGATGAGAGTAATAGTTCCCGGCCGTGCCAGGGTTGGGGCGTGCGCTGGAGAATCTGCCCGGCCAGACGGGGCGGGGCCTGCGGGGGCGCTGGTCGCTTTGGCCCCACCCCCGGCCGCCTCCGAAACGTGGACTGGCAGACGCCAGCGGGAGAGGCGGCCGCGCTAGTAGTTCCGCTGCCTGGGCGGAAGTGCGCGCCGCAGTCACGGCCGCTGACCAGCTGTCGTCATGGTGGCACCAGTGCTGGAGGCGTCTCACGTGTTTTGCTGCCCAAACCGGGTGCGGGGAGCCCTAAGCTGGAGCCCCGGGCCGGGAGGACTTCTGGCCTTCGGCACGTCCTGCTCTGTGGTTCTCTATGAGCCTCAGGTACGGAGGGTACTAGTCGCCCGATCGGCTGTGCTTCCAGTAGTGGAAGCCGAATTCTCTGTCGGGTCCGCCCGGGGTGGAGGCCTTGGCGAAGAGTCTCCTCTGGGTTTTCGGGACTCGCGGCTTTTTGCGCACTGTCAGTCTAGGGCCATCGTGGCCCGTGCCCTGAAAGTGGCCTGTGAGCCCCTCCCTGAAGCCCTCCTTCCCAGGAACTATAGTACTGGTAAAAAATTCCATTGGGTTAATTGAAATGTGGGTAAAGGGTTAAAGCCATCATTCCACAGATGCAATTTCAGTTCTGTATTTGCCTCACTATTGGTTACTAGACTTGCTGTATCAAATTTCACAGAAATATATGGATATTTTAGCTACAGAAATGCATATTTTACATAATATGCCATTTGGGGAGAAAAGTCATAGAGAATGGGGATCCTCACCGCTGATTATAAGGCAGGACTTAATCCATTCCCTCAATTTAAAGTTATTTAATTTGCGGGGACTCGGGAAGGGGTGGGGGCTGCTTACTCTACCAAACTTTTCAAGTGAGTAGTTTTTGCATGCTACCCAGAGTTCATTGTGACCCCATTTCTTCTGGATAATTTAAGATTATACAGTGAGTGTTGCATCTGAACAGGAACCTCATAAAAGGTGCAATGCTGAACATTAAGATGTAGTGCAGGAAATGGCTGCGTGTATATCTTACCATACTGTCACTGGAAGAGGGTCCAAGGAATTCCCTGAGAGAGCGTTATAACTTGATTCAGTACTAGTGGGGCCTGGTGGGGTAAATGACCTACTCGATGGAAAAGATTTTCAGCATAGGCCAGCCAGAGACACAAATTATTTAAGCAAGAAGATGCACAATCAAGGGGGAGTGTGAGCTGTCATCTGAAGAGAGCAGGCCATCTCAAGAGAGTTTTTGGGTTCTTTAAAAATATATATACATATACATACATATATATATATGTGTATATATATATATATATAGTAGATGGACACAATACCCATATTTAATTAATTTATTTTTATGTGATGCTGAGGATAGAACCCAGAGCTTCCTATGTGCTAGGCAAACACTCTACCACTGAGCTACAACTCCAGCCTTGAAAGAAAATTTGATGAGGGTTGGACTTGGGAAGGTATGTAGGGATGACATCAGTCTAGTGATCACAAGAATGATTTCTGGTGGTGTGGTTGTTCTTAGGATCCTTAGGCTGATATAGTCTCCATTATCTGATCAGTTATTCTGATCAGTAGATAATGTTGGAAAGCCCTCAAGTTATAGTTTCTTAAAACATTGTATCTCTCTTTGTTTAGTCTGTTTATTGCATGGGCGAGTTGACAGTGCACAAGGTAATTTTCATGAGTGAGTGAATTTATGGTTGCTCTTAAGATTTACAATTTTCCTGGAAATTTTTCCCGGTTGGGAGAAGAACTAAGATGGAAAATGACAGACTTGGAAAAATATGTGGAACTTTGATATTTCTTTTTCCTTCCTTTTTGTCTCCTTCTTAGCTATTTTATTTCTTCTAGCCTACCTCAGTACTCCTTACTAATTAGATTTAAAATTCTATTATCTTCATACCCTTTGTAGATTCAGATTTCTGGATGAAAGTTTTTTAATTCACTAGATAGTTTTCTCACTATCTTGAGTTTGTCCATCTCTTAGGGTTTTTGTTTCTTAGTTGCCACAAATTCTTTTTTTTTTTGGGGGGTGGGCGGGTACTGGGGATTGAACTCAGGGGCACTAGGCCACTGATCCACATCCCGAGCCCTATTTTTGTGTTTTATTTAGAGACAGGGTCTCACTGAGTTGCTTAGTGCTTCGCTTTTGCTGAGGCTGGTTTTGAACTCAATATCCTCCTGCCTCAGTCTCCAGAGCTTCTGGGTTACAGGTGTTCACCGAAGTGCCCAGCCTCTGCCATGCATTCTTAAGTAGCAAGAGAAAGAACATAAAACCAAAGATAAACTTTATAGTGACCATCAATCAAAGACTGACTCAGCTGTGGAAGTCCATCTTCATGCAGGAGCTTAATGGATTTTTTTCCATGCATTCTGTGTTAGTCAACTTTTTGTTGCTCTGACCAAAATGCCTAACAGAAAAAAACTTAAGAGGAGAAAAGATATATTTTGGCTTATAGTTTTAGTCCGTGGTAAGCTGGCTCCATTGCTTGGGGCCTGAAGTGAGGCAGAACTGAATAGTGGAAGAGTGTGGTGGAGCAAAGGTGTTCAGCTCAAGGCAGTCAGGAAGCAGAGAGGAAGGGGATAAGGACCCTTAGTGACCTATTGCTACCAATCATGCCCCACCTGCCTACAGTTTACCTCCCAGTAATCGATTCAAATTATTAATCCATCAAATGGATTAATCCATTAATGAGATTAGAACCCTCATTATCTAAGCCCCACCTCTGGATGTTGCTGTATTGGGCACTAAGCCTTCAACACATGAATTTTTCCAAATCATATAACACTTTCCATCACATTGTTTTTTAATATACATGCAAAATTTTGTATTTATTTACTTTTCAAATACATCAATATGTCTGATTAGAACATCCTCCATGATAGAAACTCTCACACACACATGAAATAATGCAATAATTTTATACCCCTGTACAAAGCACAAAATGTTTTCCACCATTATTGAAATAAACACTCTATAAAAGTGCTAATTAGCTCAATTCACTTTTTGCAAATTATCAGTTATGACAGTACACTGAATACATGCAAAAAAAAATAAGCTGAGATATTGTACTCCTAAAATTCATGTTTTGTAACATTTGCTTTGGTTTGTGATTCAGGCTCTCAGACTTCCTTTTATTTTAAAATTTTAAAATAAATTAATAAATTAATTAATTTTAATTAGATATATATGACAGCAGAATGCATTTTGATTCATTGTACACAATTGCAGCACAACTTTTCATTTCTTTGGTTGTACATGATGTAGTGTTGCACCATATATGCAGTCGTACATGTACCTAGGGTAATGATGTCCATCTCGTTCTACCATCTTTCCTGCTCCCATACCCTCTCCTCACCCCTCCCTCCCCTTTGCCCAATCAAAGTTCCTCCATTTTTCCCAAGCTCTCCTGTTTCCATCACATTTGTAAGGCTAACTTGTTGGCCATGTTAGGGGATTTTAATATATCAAAACAGAAGTATATTGAATTTAAGAAGTACTTGGTTTTATTAAGTATTTGCTGGTTGAAAGTTTCATTAAATATGGGGGTGGAGCATGTGAAATGCTTAAATAAAGTTTTGGGAATGATGCTCAAGTAGCACTTTTTTCATATTTTTTATTGATGCATTATAGTTGTATATATTGATGGGATTTATTGTTACATATTCACACACACATACAATATAACAATATAACTTGGCCAGTATCACTCCCAGCATTTCCTGCTTCCTCCCTTCCTCTCACCCCTTGATCCCTTTCCTCTGCAGATCTTTCTTTGATTTTTAGGAAATGCACCCCCACCTTTGATTTCCTTTTTCCTTTCTGGCTTCCACATATGAGAGAAAACATATGACCCTTAATTTTCTGAGTTTGACTTATTTCA